CTCAATTTTTTTTTCTATTTTTAAATCACACATTCTCCAAAAAATCACTATATAAAATAATGTTTTTCTAAAAAATGGTCACCAAATAGGGGCTACGTAATTCAGTCTCTGTTTGATTTAATTAAAAATTATATTTTATTAAATTTTGATAAAAATTGATGAAATGTATGGTTAAAAAGTTATGAATCCCATAAAATATATAATTAAAAATAAGTTTCAGAAAAAATAATTTTTGAAAAATGTTGACCAAACGGGACTCAGTATATTAAAATTTGGGCTACACATGCTCCGTTTGGCCACCATTATTTGGAATTTTAATAGTTGAAATAGTGATTTTTTGAAAAAAATATATGGTTTAAAAATAAGAAAAAGTTTTGAAATTACGTGTAATATTATTTTATTAAAGAATAAGTTGTTAATAAGGAAATAAAGAAAAATAAATTATAATTTTAATGGTCAAACCGGGGGCTAAAATGAATTTATTTTCTTGAAAATTACAGATGGCTCCACATTGTCAGTGACATCCTATTAAAGTAGTAAAACTTGAACAACATATATGACAGCTTAGCTTGTGATCAAGTGATTTGATTAGTTAAGTTAATAAAACTGCAAGTTGAGATTAATTACCCCAAATATCTGCCTATATTACCAGCTTTAGCTTGTCACCACGTGATTTGTTAACAATTAACGTCAAATCTAAGTATCATTAATTAAGGTAATGATGAAACTGCAAGCTAAGACTAAGGAAATTAATTAAGCTATAAATTGTATATAATCAAACTGATTCGGATCTTTACTTCAACTCTCAATATCATTAATTAATTTAATAATCAAACTTAATTAATATACAACTTGCATTATTAAAACAGATTTGAACCTTACCTCAAATCTCATGATCATTGCATAAGTTAATAATCAAACTACAAGTTGAGATTAATTACCTACACATCGTGCCTAATCAAAACGACACGTAGTGCTGAGTGTTGAAAATAATCAAACTGCAAGTTGAGATTATTTAGCTACACATCGTACCTAATCAGACGACACATTTTCAAACAACACATAGTGCTGAGTGTTGAAAATTTTCAATTTATTCATACGTGAACCCTTGATGAAGTACAATTAGAAAAACAGGATCAATGATCGAGTTTTTGACATACGTACACTTGACAAATTTTCATTGACAGTGAAAAAAATTAAACAAAAAACTGTCAATAAAAAATTGTCAAATCAATCGCTGAAAAAGGACTGTGTCATTGAGCCTCTATCTTTAGCTTTTTCCCTTATTCTCGTATATGTTTTGCTATTTGTATACACTTTGATGTGCACCCCCTCACAAAAGAGATGGGGTTCACATGTAATTAAAAAAAGGGGTTTTACTATTTGTACACCGGTGTACACCCCTTCACGAAAGAGGAGGCCCCTTCATCCTATAAAAAATTCATGGATCCCCATATTGCGAGAGCGGTTGTACACCCTCAGTTGACATATAGCAAAATCCAACAAAAATTTGTGGGTTTTTATTGTGAGGTGGCCGTATAGCAGGATACTGACCTGGATGTATCTATAGCAAAACTCATTCACGCATATCGGCAAAAGGGCAGTGCGGTGATTTTGACTATTATTACAGCTGTGTAGAAAAATTTCAAAATAGTCGCATAATAATAAACTGGACAGCACCAATAATTAGCCAATAATATAAAGTTAATTGTTTAATCTTAATTCAATCAATATACACACTGTTCTCTCACTATAAAAACATTCCAGAAGCCCCCATGCTATGTACTCATTTCTAGATCACTAAATCACCAAATTTTCTACCACAAGCACAGAAAATGGTTCGCCCTCATGTGCTTCTTGTAACTTTTCCAGCTCAAGGGCACATCAATCCATTACTTACATTTGCCAAGACCCTCGTTAGGAATGGCATTGAAGTCACCTTTTCAACAAGTTTATATGCCCAACGACGGATGTCGAAGGCTAGTGACGACATCACCAACGGCATTACTTTTGCGGCGTTCTCTGACGGATTTGATGATGGGTGCAAATCCAATGATGATCGCGATCGATACATGATGGAGTTTAGAAGCCGTAGTTCCAACACCATAAGAGAAACGATTCTTGCTAGTGCAGAGCAACGCCGCCCAGTTACGTGCCTAGTTTACAGTCTACTGCTTCCGTGGGCTGCAGCGGTGAGTCGTGAAATGGACATCCCGAGTGCTCTTCTGTGGATTCAACCAACCACTGTGCTGGATATATACTACTATTATTTCACAGGCTATGGTGACGAAATCAGTCATTCATCGGACGATCCCCCC